ATCCCCTCTGACCGTCTTCCGTCAACCAGCCGGTGAGAGCTCCGATTAACCATCCCGCCAAAGTTTTACATTAAACTTGTTTGAAAAGTTTTAGGAACAGTTTGTAAAAAAAAAAAAAAAAAGAAAAAAAAAAGGTTTTAGGAACATTTCATAATTTTGAACGCTTATTACTAAGCTAAAAGGTATAGCTCACAATGAAAACGCAACTTTATTTCCTTATATATTGTAGTGACATTTTCAAAAGAATAATCCTCCTAATTACTAATTATTGAACTTGACCTTTTATCGACCTCCACCCAAGATGGGTAAGTAATATTGCTCTTAAATCTTAATTAAATTAAATGTTGTTAAGGGAGGGACCTAAAAAAGGGGCAGGAGTCACGGAAAGTCGGAAAGATCTGAGTACGTAAAATAAAAATAGTCAGCATACGAAAACCGATAAAAACATCATGTTTGTATGTAAAGTTTGTCATGCTCGAAATGAAATATATCAAAAAATCAAAATTAGTGGTTGTTGGTTGTTCGTGCAGTGGATCATTTATTCATTCTAGAACCTTGAATTTAGTGCTGAAAAAATAAAAATAAAAAATGAAAATGAGCCACAATCATTATTGGTTGAACTATTATCCATACAGTTGTGTAAATTATACTATCAAATAATATATATTTAATATAAAAATAATGTACTTTGAATATATTAAATAAATTACATTATATTCAATAAATATACATTATTTGTGTATTAAAAATATATTATTTTATATAATGTACATTTAATACATAAATAATGTGTGTTTAATACTTTTTATTTTTTTTTTGAATGTTACTAGCTCTATTAGATTGTAGTATCTGTTCATATACTTTCTCAACCTACTGAAACACAAAGAGCCAATAACGCCTCCACTGAGGCTCGAACTCACAACCTTCCAAATGGAAGTCCAACCCGGATACCATTAGACCACATAGTCCTGGTTAATACTTTTTATTTAATTTGCGATGAGCCATGGGTGGGTCCATAGGCCCCAGAATCCAAACCCTTTCCTGACGTACCAATGCACGCATTCTTCTGCCGTTAATAAATGTGGCACAAGTCGTTAATTCTTAATTGTTGGGCATGTGACTTCTTGTTTCTACCTTATCTGTGCCACTACTCTTTCTTGTGAAATTTTGCAACCACCACATATTACATATATATATATATATATATATATATATATATATATATATATATATATATATATATATATAATATATTAATTTTTTTTACAAAATATATTATGTAGAGTTGGACCCAATAACGAATAGCTTTTCAGTTGAGTTGTAGGGTTGATGAGAGGGTCGTCCATGTTGGTGAAAAAACAAAGATTTTAACAATGTCGGGTGGAGAAATTGGACTCAACAATAATGGTGATGAAGGCAATCTTGTGATTGGGTGTTCATGTTTGTAAATAAATTGGATTGTTTTAAGTTAAAGTTTGCAAGAGTGAAAATTTTACTATTATTCAAAAGTTGTAGGTGTACGTAATCTTATTAATATTATATTTAAAAAGTTATCTAATACGGACTATTAGAAAAGTACAATAATTTAGTATATAATAATGCCAAGGGGAGCTTTAATTTCCTTAATTTTGGATTGAAGGAGGTTGAAGGACAAGTGCGAGATCATTTTCACTCTTAAAGTATCAAGCCATGTTATAATCATATATACCTAATTTAGGTAGACAGTTGGTTATATGTTCTTGCTAGATAAGTGAAATGGGTAGGGACCTTGGGTTTTGGGTTTATGACTAAAAACCCTTTGGGATTTAACACTTCCTAGATGATGACTGAATGGTTGTTAGTTGGTCGAGAAAATTGTGCATGATGAGGATAAATTGATATGTAAACATATACTATTTAAAGGTGCAATGCAAAATGCTGGATATTTTGTTTTGTTTTCATACGAGAGAGAGTTATGAACTCCCGATATCTCTTAACAGATGAGTGTGTATAATCATTCATGCTAAATCAGCTGTGGTTAGAGAAGATTAATGAATATTTAAGAATTAAGGAGAAGACAAACATCCAATAATATGTTTGTTGTCTAAGATTGTAAGGCAAAATCAATGCATTCACGGGCTTGTTTTTGAGTTGGGGGATGGACCCCAAGATTTTGTGGTGTTGCGTTGATTTGTTGCCCACGTTATTGTTTGGTTGTATGCATGCTTTAATTTATTTTGTAGATACAAAACTTTTTGCAGATAATGCAAGCTAACAATGAAGGGGCTTGAGACAATGACTTCTAGCTAAGCCGATTAGCTAGAGAGATATAATTGTCACCTTTAATTTTTATTTAGTATATGTTATCTAAGTATGGTAGGCATTAGTGTTGTATACTTGATAAAATTGTAACGTGTACTTTAAGTGTATTAAAAAAAAAAGTATGATTTTATCAAATATAAAATGTATTCATATATCATCTTGAATGATACATGTGAATTTTCTATATGTAGTTTTTTTGTTTTTAAATAATCAATGACTTTATTATCTAGTAGCACGAAGTGACTCTCCTAAAAGGGGTTCATAGGTTCGAGTTGTAGTGGGGTAATATTGACTCTTTGTGCTTCTTGGTCTTTTAGTGAATGGTAATGTAGGATAATTTTTAAGTAATTAATGTATGAAAAAAATTATAGAGTTAATTTCACTTTTAGTCATATGATTATTGGGGTCTTGTTAATTTCAATTCATAAGTTTCAAAATTGTTAATTTAATGTCTAAACTATTCAATTTTTCTCAATTTCGATCATTCCGACCAAATTTCCGGCAAAAAATAACTGAAAAGATAATTGTACCCTCAAATTTTAAAAATACTAAGTATTTTAGATTTGTTTTTCCACCTGCTATCGCCGGCGACAGTTTCTCGCCGACCCTTTCCAAAAAGTTGGCCTACCTATATATATATCCACCATTAAATCCGGTAAGAATGGAGAAGAGAGGGCTAAGTTCATCTGGACGGTCATCTATTTCCCAGCGAAACAATTTTGTAGCTAATATATATACATGAAATCCCAATTCCATGGGAATCAATTTCGCTGATTTCTTTTCTGTTTTCTTAAAATCATTTTGTCCCTCTGTTTTTCCGTGAAGTTTCTGTTTCATTGAATATATGTATCCACCATTAAATCTGGTGAGAATGGAGAACAGAGTGCAACAAAGGAGGTTGATGTTTGGTTTTTGGTCTGGCAAATCGTGCCTAAAACTAATCTTTGTTAACTCTTAAAAAGGTGAACGTCAATAGATGTTCAGAGAACGAGGATGACGAAGAGCTAGCATTGATGCACGGGAAATTGAACATTTGTTACATTCTTTCAGAGAACGAGCCGCAACCTTGTTGCAGCGGATCTCCGTCAAGATAGCGATATTGTGGATGATGCCCAACTACCGGAAACAGTTGTGTTCAGTTATTATTTTAAAAAAATTTGAGGGTAAATTTGTTTTTTCAGGTTTTTTTTTGCCTGAAAATTGACCCGATGGACCAAAATTGAGAAAAATTGAATTGTTAACGTACTAAATTGACAATTTTGAAATTTATGGACTAAAATTAACAAAATCCCAATAGTCATATGACCAAAAGTGAAATTAACTCAAAATTATATTTTTCATTCTTCAATTGTTCTCGAGTTATTAATTTACCAACTCTCTTTCAATTTTCACGAATCTAGTCATTTAATTGTTAAGCGAGTTGTTTTATCAAAAAATAAAAATAAAAATTGTTAAGCGAGTTGTAAATTCAATTCCTTTGAAATGTCAAGCTCCATTGTATCTAGATGGAGTAATTGCATCAATGCCCCGTCTTTTGATCGATGAAGTTTCATTGAGCTTACCAAAAGAAAGTTACAAATATACCTTGTAAAACTCTAGATACAAACGAAAATTAACATCCCAGTTAGTTGAGAGATTTAATTCATAGTCCGCATGTACAATTCAGTTGATTTTTAGGTGGTAGATTGTGAGCAAGAAAGATTAAATTTAAAGTTTATTTAACAAATATAATCAAATTTGTAAAAAAAAAAAAGAAAAAAAAAAAAAAGATGACTTGGGAATAATTGAGGAATTAAAAGTGTGAGCTTTTCAAATAAATATAAACAATTTTGTTATCATGTCAAAATTTAATAGATGAATTTAAAATGGAAATTAAAATAGCATTTATGAAAGAATAAAGGTAGGATTTGAGGATTGACAATTTGACATTATTGATTGATTGGAATTGGGGAATCCGAATTCTGTTCAGCCACCAAAACTATTAACCATACACGAGAACACTGTTTAGCCACATGGCAAAAATATTAGATTGCGACTCCAAGTTTTGTATATATGCTTTATGTATATTTCTTTGGGGAGGGTATCAATTGCAATTGGAATTGTAATTCTCTTCAATCAAACACGGTAATTCGGATGGTTAAAGAATTAGGCTGTAATTGAATTACAACTACATTCAACCAAGCAATCCATTGATGTACTTTTCTTGATTGATATATTCGAGGCAATGTGCTTTGCTGGCGTTTGGTTTAGGTAATCTGAGTCTGGTAATGTTATACGTAGTATTACTTTGTTTGGTTCAAGTTATGAGATTACTTGGTAATGTTATATTACCTCAAAGCTGATGTGGCGGTAATATTTTAAGGTAATGTGATTACCTTCATTTTCTTAGGTAATCTTAGATTACCTTGAATAATTCCAGCTTTGTTAATGTGATTACCCCCATTTTCTTAGGTAATCTTAGATTACCTTAAATTATTCCAGTTTTGTCCTTGTTAAATAATAATAATAATAATAATAATAATAATAATAATAATAATAATAATAATAATAATAATTATTATTATTATTATTATTATTATTATTATTATTGTTGTTGTTGTTGTTGTTGTTGTTGTTATTATTGTTGTTGTTGTTGTTGTTGTTATTATTATTATTGTTGTTATTATTTTTTTTTTTTGAAAACCAAAGAACTTCATAAATTAATAAGGAACCAACTCCGAAATACAACTAGGTGGAATGTAATCCCACACACCAAGGACAGCTGGATGATCAGTCGCCTGTGCAAGCACATGAGCTACATGATTAGTTGACCTTCTGACATGGCGGACAACAACGTCCTCAATGTCTCTAGCAATCAAACGGGGCATTGCTTTAAAAGTAAACCAACATGAGAAAAGCCCACAGACGAGGAATTAAAAGAAGAGCAAAAATTTAAACAGTCAGACTCAAAAATAACAGAAGCCATTGAGCGATTCTTAATCCAGGTGAGAGCTTCTTTCACTGCCACAGTCTCGGCGATGTAGGGATCTCGAACACATTGCAAATGCCCGGCATAGGCTGCTACAAATATGCCATCATGGTTTCTAATAACCGCACCAAAACCAACATTGTCTTCCAATAAAGCTGCATCAACATTACACTTTAATTTCCCTTCTGGAGGAGGTGACCAAATATTGGGGGATTGAAGACTACCTTGCATCATATTAGGCGTACATAGATAAGCCTGCTTCCAAGACGTGACCATAGCTTCAACCTAGCTTACAATCATTTGTATCGACCAATCCTTCTCATTCCACAGCTTATCATTTCTCACTCACCACAAGGTCCAAAACCTTGCAACAAAAAATAAAGCTCTATCCAGGTCCGAATTACATAGCTCTGATTGGACAAACTCAATGACGGATTTTCCATTCAGCACATCACCACTGCCCCATGTATGGCGAGCAACTGGGCACTCATAGAGTATATGGACTATCGTCTCCACATCAGAAGCACATAGAGAGCATCCCCCACCAATACAAACCTGTTTGGTACGCAAGACTTCACGCACAGGCAACAAATTTCGCACAATACGCCATAAAAAATTCTTGATATTAGGAGGCACCTTCAATTTCCACAACTGCTTCTAATCTGTAAATTCCAATCCCGAGTCTTGTATCATATGGTTCTGAGTTTGGAGATGATACCTATGTTTAACGGAGTAAAGACCTCTCAGGTCGCCTTTCCAGCACCATGTATCTACATGCGTAATTGAGAGTGGAGTGTGAAGGATTCTAGTTACATCCGCTTCAACAAAAATATCTCGCAAAAGACCCTCATCCTAACAACCATCGGCAGTTCAAAGATTACATACCCATGTGTCTTTTAACTCCTCTATGCGGTCCGTTTGGTTTCGGATTGTCAATATCAGCTAGCCAAGGCCAACCCCAAACTAGTTTGTCCTCACCATTGCCAACCCTTCGTAGAAGCCCAACACTCGTTACATTTCAATTTAGCCAAGCATGGCCAGCTTAACCAATGGATGCCTTTGGCGTTGCATGTAACCTTGCTCTACCAAAACCGGTTCAAAGACCTCTCAATAACCTCACAAACCGTAGAAGGGAGAAGGAAGACCGACATGGTATAAATTGGCATGGCTTGTGCAATACTCTTACCAAAACTTCCTTATTTGCTCTTGAAATGAATCTTTTTTGCCACATTAATTCTATCCCGCACTCTCTGTTTGATATAACAAAACACAACAGTTTTGTTTCGCCCAATGAAAGAGAGTAGACCAAGATAACGACCGAAGTCTTCGGCTTGCTACACACCAAAGACATTCGCCACATGAGTACATATGTCTGGCGATGTGTTTGTACTAAAAGTGATGCTAGACTTGTCAAAGTTAACTAGTTGCCCGGAAGCCGAACAATACACAGCTAGGAAATTCCTCACCTCTTGTGCCTCCGATATATTTGCCCTGAAAAACAGTAAACTGTCGTCCGCAAAGAACAAGTGAGAGACAGGTGGTGCCCATCTAGCTATTCTTATGTCCTGAATATTCCCCCTGACCTCCCGTTGTGAAGAAGCAACGACAGACCCACAACACAAACTATGAACAAATACGGCGATAAGGGGTCTCCTTGACGGATGCCCCTAGATGGAATAACAGTACTTACTGAATCCCCATTGACCAAAATATTGTAGCCTGACAGATGTAACACACAATTTCACAAGATCAATCCATTTATTAGCAAAACCGAGCGTCGCCAGCATTCCTTCGAGATAATGTCATTCCATACGATCGTATGCTTTGGCCATGTCTAATTTCTGTGCTACCCAACCCACACCACCTGACCGCCTCGTATTTAAATAATGGCCAATTTCCCCGACAACAATAATATTGTCAGTAATCAAGCGATCCGGGACAAATGCACTCTGAGAAGGGGAAATGATTATATCAAGAATAATTTTCATGCGATTTGAAATTACCTTTGCCAAAATTTTATAGACCACGTTACACAAGGCTATTGGTCTCAAATCCAATACCCGTTCTGGAGTTTTCTTCTTCGAAATAAGCACCACATTGGTGTCATTTAACCCTATAGGCAAATAGCAATTTGCGAAACAATCAATAATAAACTTAGAGAGATCGTATCTGATAACTGACTAGAAAGCCTGATAGAACGAAGGGGACATACCGTCTGGTCCTGGGGCTTTATCGAGGGCTATGGAGAATAAAGCATCTTTCACCTTAACAATTTCACCGGATGAAGAAGTTGATTATTCATGGCCTGAGAAATCCGGGAGGGTACTCCGCTGAAAAGATTCCTATCGCCAGTTGAAGCCTGGAAAATGATTGAATAATAGTTCATGATCTCAGCTTTCGTATAATTGCCATCAACCCATTATCCCGCATCATTATTCAATCGGCTTAGGAAATTATTTTTGTTTCGATGGCTTACAAAACGATGAAAATATTTCATATTTGAATCCCCTTCTTTCAGCCATAATTGTTTCGAACGTTGTCGCCATTATAGTTCCTCCTGAGCTAACAAACTACGAAGTTCTCCCTCCACTGCTAGGAACTCACTTACGTCACTTGGGCTACGGCTGCTACGTAAATAATCAAGACAAGTCCTTAAACGTTGTATTCTTTGACTAATTTTGCGAAAATGATCACCACCCTAATGCCATAGATCATGTCCGCAAATATAAAGCCTCTGCTGAAAATCAAGGTGAGTTGACTGCCTCCATGATGATTCAACCACCTATTTACAATCGGCATCCAACAACCAAGCGGCCTCAAGTTTAAACTTCCTAGGGGAACGATGAAACGACCGTCTATTCAAATCCAAGAAGATGACATTGTGATCCGAAGAAATGGCGTGAATATTTAAGACCGAGGCATCATCATACAAGTCTCTCCATTCCGAAGACACCACTGCCCTATCAAGGCGCTCTTCTATCCAGTGATCAGTGCCTCGCCCCCTCTCCCATGTGAAACCATGCCCATGCATGCCTAAGTCAAAAAGGTTGCAGTCCATAAGAACATCATTAAAACCCCGAATAAGATTGTCGAGATGTGATACAGTCCCCTTCTTTCCACTGTGACTGGCGATGTCATTGAAATCTCCGATCACAACCCATGAAAGGTTGGATCATCCCTTTAAATCTCGGAAAAGATTCCATGCTTGCTGTCTTTTGGACCTTTCCGGAAAGCCGTAAAAGCCCATTAGGCGCCAAGGTGGTTTGCCCGCAATTGAGACTTCCATGTCAATATGATTGTTTGAGAAGCTGATTAATTTTGCCATATCCATTTCTTGCCATAAGAGAGCCATACCCCCTCCTAAACCAGTCCTATCCACAGTAAATAAACCTTCGAAGCCCAACCGTAGTCTCAGATTTTCCAATTGAGCCGATCGAGCTTTTGTCTCCATGAGGAAGACAAAATTGGGTCGCTTGTTGGACACGAAGCCTAGTAATTCACGAACTGTCCAAGGGCCACCCAAACCCCGACAGTTCCAACTGAGTACTCATTGGGCTGGGCGAGTCTGAATCTCCAAACCTACCGGACACGCATTTTTTGGAATCTCCATCATATGAATATCACTGGCCACATTATGATTCTCGTCCACCCCTTCCTCCCGTCTTCGCTTGAGATCAACATGCATAATATTAGCCTCCTCCACCCGAGTAGGGTTAGATGAAGAAGTAGCCGGCGTAGACGGAACACATACTGCCTTCTCTGGGAGATCCGAGAGAAACCATTTAGCCCCTACTGGTTTCGATTGCCTCCTATTTCCAGCCCTTAGCCAAGCACCATAAGGGTAGTCCTTCGGATCAATCCCCTCCTAATAAACTTTACGGTAGAATGCTTCAGAATGCCCTATCAAGCTGCAGAAAAAACAAAAGGTATTTAATCGTTCATATTTAAACAAAATCCACTCGTAGGTGCCATCCCTCATCCGGAGTTTCATATTTCTCTTTAGAGATTCTTTCAACTGTAGCGTAACACGAATGCGGTAGAAACTCCTCCAATTACCTCCAAAGTTGTTGGGATCTGCTTTCATGAAATGGCTGACATAATTGCTGATCTTCTCAATGAACTCAGACGTAGCATACGGCTGTGGCAAGTCATGGATCTGGACCTAGAAATCCAAGGAATCCAACACTACCTCTTCTGGTCGACTTCTTGGTGGTATTGGTTTGCAAACCATGGTTTGGTTTTCAAACGACCATGGCCCTTCATTAATCACCAGCTGTATATCTCATGGGTGCGGGAACTGGAAATCAAAGAGCTTGTCTTCAAGCGGGATACTCTTGACTCCCATAACAGGCCGCCAGACCGAAGCAAGAACTTGCTGCATATGATCGAACATAATATTTCGATCGGTGAGAACACGACCTACTAGTTCCCAATAGGTTACGCTGCCACTAGGCTGATCATGATCCGGCGCATCCAAACCTCCAGCTTCTTCCCCCGCCAGCGTCAAACTAGCACAACTATCTTCCAAAGTTCGGATATCCATCAGATGGGACATATGAAGACAACAAAGGCAAGGACAGAAAACAGACAAAGAACGAAGGATCAGACAAAAAGAGTGACCATAGACACACAATAAAGACAAACAAAAAGAAACCCTAGATGACTGGGGAAAAAACTCTCTAGAAACCTTAGAGAGAGAACCGCGTGAATATAGGAGAACATGTGGACCATGCTCCAAATTGCTTTGTAGATCATGGTCCACGTATAATTTACCATAATATCAGGCAAATTTTTGACAACATAAAAATAACATATGTAATTCTAGAAAGAAAACATAGCAAACTTTTTACAAATTTAGTTTAATTGGATTGTTATTTGAAAAATAATATTTTAAAAAGAAAACAATTATACGCTTGTCAGGCTGTTCCAGTTAGGAGTATAGCTACTGGGAAAATAATTATTACTCCATAGTCCATATATATTTTTGAATGATTATATTATTGAGTCATCCGCAGCCCAAAGGGTACCCTACATGTTAGGTACGACTGATAATAGCATATAACTCACAACTTAATATGGAAAATTTGTACTTAGATACCACTTAAATTAGTTGTCAATTGTCATTTATGCATGTCAAAAAAGCAGATGACTCACAAATACTGATAATTTGAATAGTTGTGAGGCCTGATCTCACTTTTTCAAATGATTTTATTTATTTTTTATTTTTTTGGAATACAACAAATTCAGAAATTCCTTGGTTGTAAAAATAACTTCAC